GTAGAGTGATGGCCTACCACATGCAAGACCTTGGGTTCTAGTCTCAGAATAATTAAAAAATAACGACTAATGTTATAAACCTTATTTATATTCATTCATCTTTCAATTTTTCAGTCTCTCACCATTAAAGTAAATATTAAAGTATATACTCTAAAACTAGTTTTGTTAATAGAAATTGAATTATACAATTAAGCATACAAAAAATTAGCAGCCCCTGACTGTGTAGAATATTATTGTACAATATGCTGATCCTATAAGGGGTGGAATCCCATCTTTTAAAAAACTGGTATTTAGCCAGGCAGTGGTGCCACTTGCCTTTAATTCCAGCACTAGGGAGGCAGAGGCAAGTGGATCTCTATAAGTTCAAGGTCAGCCTGGCCTACAGAGTGAGTTCCAAGATAGTCGGGGCTACACAGAGAACCTCTGTCTTGAACAAATTAGAAGGAGGAGGAGGAGAAGCAGCTAGTATTTAATAAAACAGACTTTGATACATACACCACAATACACACTGTATGTGACAGTGATCAAAAGAGGAACAGAAAACACAGATCTCCCATTCATCAGATGGGTAGAGTAGCAAGAGCTACCAGAAAACTTTATTACTTTAGCTTATGAAACAGAACCGGATCATCTTGGTGGCCTCCTATGTATATCCTTCTGACGCACAACATCCCTTTCAAGGTTAGGAGTCTAGAGAGCATGTTTTCCAGATATGCTTTAGTGTTTATCCCTAGAGTTTCTTGGGACAGAGAACCATTCAGGAGCCTAAGCTGCTTCACAACTTAACGAAAACACTCAGGTCCTGGTATATATGATGTGATTTTTGAGAATGGAGTGCTATAATGCTTCATGCTTGGAACAATGTAGGCAAACGTGTGCAGGCTGTAGTCGTTACAAAGCTCAAGAGCATGGCTGTTCAAGGGCAGCCACACAAGAGTATAACATTCGGGGATCCTCTATCGGTGCTGCACGTGCTCCCTTCGGGAGTCTAATGCACGGGAACGATAGAGCCAAAAGCTGCACTAGAACAATACTGGTTCCCATGTGCACGCACACGCATGTGCATGCACACATGTACGCACATACCAAAGAACCATGTATCCTTCCAAAGAAGACAACTTTTGCCTGATGTTTCACACCAGTACTTTGCTTTAAAAGCTTTTCAACATGTTATAAGTCATAGCAGTTCGGGCTCTTTGCAGTCTTTCTGATATTTCTAACTAAACGCCTATATTTTCAGTATTTTTAGTTATCTAATATTAATAATAGCAATGAATATAACTAGCCATCCAAAATGCCGTTTCTAAATGTTCGCCACCATGTTTTTGTTCACAGTGGCGAGGGTGTCTCATTATCTCCTCTAAAACATCTCTCCAGGCACCCAACACGAAAGAAAGGGGAGCAAGCTGTGCCCTGTGCCCACGGCAGCTGATCTCATAGACAGCACTGGAAACGCACTGCAGACCCACCTTCATCAATCACTCACCAATCTTACTTTGCATCTTGGCTACAAAAGAAAATGGGATTTGTTTCCCTGAAGAAATATGTCACTGCTCTGCCTGAATTATTAAGCTTTACTGTTACAGAGAGAAACAAGAGTCAAGGAAAAAGAAAGGGAAAATAAAAATAGAGCTAGGTCGCCATCTACAGTCAAAAGGCAGCATTGCTGGGTCGAGGAGCATTTACTTCACAGCTGAATATCAGTAAATATCACAATCTTTTAAAGCAAAACAGGTGACTAAAATGATAATTATTTATAAATATTATAATAACAATAGTTTACAGCTAAAGAACATTGGAGTATTTGTTTACATTTTAACATCTACTAGAAAATGATCTTAATTATTCCCTAACACTAAAATTGAAGACTGAAACACAACTGCACAGCTCTCCTCACTTCACAGATGTTTTAGCAGGGAAGACGAGGGCTCCATCTCCAAAAGCACTGCTCGTGCATTTTTACTCATTACCCGAGTCCCCGCCTCCGACACATTCCTTTCACTCATGATCTCTATTCCCTTTGCTTGAACCCTCTAGAGACCTGAGCATCAAGGAGCTCACACTTGGTTCCAATTACTAAAATAGATGGCATTAAAGTAAAAAGCTGCTTTGATTATAAATGAATACAAAGGTTGGGTTAGGGGAGAGACACATGCGACATTACAAGGACATCTTGGGGGAGGCCTTTAAGAAGTTGCTTGGGTTTCAATCATACAGATATGGATTGATTACTTAAATTTCCTAAGTGGCAGCATCAGCTATAGAACTGCACCTTTTCTTTCATTTTTCATGGAAAACATTTTTGAAAGTCAATGTTTATTTGGGGGTCAGATGCTTTTCCTATCAAAGAAAAATATATGCAAATTCTTCATCTCTGCTCTTCTACATCTTCTAAATGAGCAGCATAGTCCTTGAGTGCTTGGGAAAAATTAGTCCTAAGACCTTCCTTTGACAGGGTCTCCATTTACAGGGAATAATGAGCTAGGGCTGTTTAAGAACCTGTGGCCTTCAAAGTACAAAGCTAGGTTGGAAATACCCACTTAGGATGGGAGGTTACCTAAGCAACTGCACATCTGTCAAGGCCAGGCATTGGCCACTGAAGGGGTCCACCTTTCTGATCACATCTTAAAAACTACTTGTTTCAGTATTAAACACTGTAGACGTATTATTGAAGAAGCTTTGTGAATTTCCACAGAAGCCAAGATGCTGATTATTCAACTCACCAACACAGTCTGCTACCCAAAGAAAGGAATGCTAATCCATTCCTGTGTTCTCCAGCTTGTGCAGGGACCACAAGTAAGCCCAAAGACTTAAAATACACATGCTGTAAGTAGACATGGGACTTCTGTGCACTAATAAGAACCTTAAAAACAAAAAGCAAATAGCATCTCCTCCCTTAACTAGATAATTTATTAAAAGCTTTAAATGGGTCCAGCTTCTTAGTGGGGTTTAAAGTATTACAGAGACCCAGTCATCTTTAATTTCCACCATTTATTCGATCAACATGTATTAAATGCCTTGATTCTATTAGACAGAGAATAGTGGTGAGAATTTTTAAAAAGGAGCTAGATATAGTAATTCATGCCAGCACTCAAAAAGTTAAGGCAGAAAGACTGCCATGAGTTTGAGACCAGCCTGGGCTAACATAGTGAGTTCCCAGTCAACCTGAGGTAGACTGAAGCCTTGTCTCAACAAAACAAGAGTAGCAACCACAGCCTATACATAGTTTTAGATTTCAGATACAGTATCTCTTTATCAAAATAAGGCCTCTTTAGTTTTAGCTTTCAAAAATGGCCTGTTTTTTCACAGGTAACTTTTTTTTCTGTCCTTCCTGCTATACAATAGGTACCCAACAACACCTGCCAGCTATACTTCATCCTGACCTCCTCGGTGCCTGTCTCTTGACAGGATATAACAGGCTATGGGCATGCAAAGTAGTTTGAAAAAATCACAACATGAGTTCACAATTCAGAGGAAGACAGAAGGGGCAGTGAGACTGGAAGGAGGGTGTGGACCTCCTATGATCAACAGCACCAGAAGGATGAGAACCGAGCAAGCCTAACAGCGTGCTAATATCCACCAGCGAGATCCTGGGAGATAGGAACCCTCCTCTCCTCTGGGGAACCAGGCATGCATTTACCCAGTGCTTCTCCCTGCTGTAGCCCTGGGAAGTGCACCTAGGGTCTCATGCACATCAGATGAGTGCTGTACTGCTGAGCTAAGTCCTCAGCCCTTCTTGTGCTTCAGGAAGCATGGGCTCACTGAACTCTCCAGCCCAGCCTTAACTTTGAGATCCTACAGCCTCAGCTACCAGGCCATCTGAGCATTTAGCCTGTCCTTTCAACCTTCAACCACTTGTCTTTCTCTTGACTTTTTTGCATCTGTGTGGCATCCTCTAAACCCTCCCAGGAGCTCCTGCTGCCCTGCAGCTGTAAGTACTACATGATTCCTCGTGTGGGATGGATTTCCCATGTGGGCCGGATTCTAGTGATGACTCAAACGTTCTATCACCAGTCTTCACCCCGAGCATCTTGCACTAGTTTTATAAGGATGGACCTTAAGTAGAGGAGGCGATGCACTTCCTGTTTCCAGCCAGCTGCTGCTGTCTGACCCGAGTGTCTCTCTCCATTTTATGAGCCCATCCATTTGAGAATACACTTGAATGACAGCAGATATAGCCCAGCTCTACATTGTGTGAAAGTTCACTATTTCATTGCACCTGTCCTGACCTCGGGACACCTCTATCTCACACTAATGGATTTTCAGACCAGTACAAATTGTTTTGCTTTGGTTTTTGCTTGTTTTTTTGAGAACCAGAGGGCCTCAAACTCATTACATGGCAGAGACAGGCCTTAACCTCCTAAGTGATCCTCCTGTCACTACAGGCATGAATTACCATGGCTGGCGCAAATTAGAAATTTTTAAAGTTATCTTATAGCTTTTGGTAAAGTTTATGTGTGACCAGTATTCACTTGGATATTGAACATCTTTTCAAGAAAGGTGAGTTGTGAATACAGGCAAATCATGAGTGTATACCCTCAACCCACAGAGACAGTCACCAGCACTTAGAGTATAATGCCAAGCAAGCACTCTCAGAAGGTGCACAAGATGGCAATGCTCCCTTTTGTCCTAATAAGACTGCCTTAAACAACTATCTGATCTCAAAGCTTAATAGAAGCCGGATGTGAGAAATAACTGCTTCTCATCCGATGAAAGTCTTCTTTGAACAAACTCACATACGGCAAGACAAAAAGGAATATCCCCTGTAAGCCTGGAGAAATGAACATTATCGAGTTAAGAATAAAAATTGAGGAGCTGAAGAGATGGCTCCGTGGTTAGGAGCACTTACTACATTTCCACTCTGTTCCCAGCATCTGCAGGCACCTACACACACACACACACACACACAATTGAAAATAAATTTTTTTTAGAATTCAAAAGAATTAAAATGGATCCACAGTCTTAAAAAATAATATGAGCAAAACAAGAAACAAACTAACCATTGTTTAGCACTGCTTGCTGGGAATCCTTCGACTTCACTTTTTGTTTCACATTTGTGGGTTTTTCTGAATTTGAATCTTTCTTCCCTTTCCTCTTCAGAGGCTGAGGAGATGAATTATCACTGGAGCCGATGGTCGACTTAGATTGGCGATAATTTCCCTAAATGACAGAAGATTAGATCCTTACTATTGGCTAGTGAACTCTCAATGTATTTCCAGTACATACATATGGTTAACCAGTGATCCTAGAGAGAGTCCCGCATTAATTTCCAACTGCTGGCCGTGGTGCCACACTAGCTGGAAACACTTCTTCCCAGAGGCACGAAGAAGTGCCATCTGGCAGAGGATGAAGACTAAAAATGATCACTCACGACTGGCAGATGCCATAAAAGCATTTCCCTTAGGGTTGGTGATGGAGCTCAAAGGCACAGGGCTTGCCTAGCACTTGGTGAGGCCGAGATTCTATCACCATGGTACACACAGAGAAACAGAAACAAAAGCCCTTCCTTGGCTGGGGAGACAGATGGCTCAGTTGGTAAAGTGCTTGGCCACAAAAGCAGGAGGACCAGAGTTAAGATCACTAGATCTAGGCAGCCTATTGAAACTGGTGAGGTTTCCAGCACTGCCAAAAAAAAAAAAAAAAAAAAAAAAGCCCAAACAGGTGAAAGGTTCCCCAAGAAACAAAGTCAGTGTTTGACCTCCACCTACATGCGTGAGCACACAATTCCCTCGTCAGCTGAACAGGGCTGATGCACCTGCCTTTATCCTGTCCCAAGAATGGAGGGGACCAGGTGTGAAGTGACTAGACTAGTGCCTGGTGACAAGGGGCTGGTGTTTCCTCTAATATCAGAGATCATATATCTATAGATGATAAGATATATAAAGTCATATCAGAGATAGGGGTGTGGCTTGGTGATGGAGCATTTGCCTAGCACGTGCAAGGTCCTGCACTCAATCTCCAGAATTGCAAGAATAAAGTAAGTAAATAAATAACTCGACCATATTGGGTGCAATCTTTATGCAACATCTGTACTATCTGAAAATAAATGTAGTAATATTAAATAAACAAATCTGCCTGGAAGCCTATTATAACTGCTCATTTTAAACATTTATATATTCAGTCACCCAAAAGCATTTAAATGGTTTTAGCCATCACCCAATTAAGAATAGAAAAAACCCACAATCTTACAAATGAAGTTATTTATGCTATTTTGTCACAGTCTACAAGAAAATGAATTATGCATAGATTTATTAACAGTATGAAAACTTGTCCAAATCTATAACATTTTTGCATAATTTAATTTTCCATTCCAACTGCAATTTAAACATCCAGTTTCCATTTAACTATTGCATGATCTACAAGCAGAGATTTATTTTTTCTTTCCCTTTTTTCATTCACTGTCTGGTGAAGAAAGACAGCATGGCAGACGTGGAGCTTCTGAAGCTGTTAGCCAAGACCCAGACTATAGTCTGCTGTCAGTGCAGCCTGCTCGTCCTGAGATTTCAACACTGGAAAACTGTGACAGCAAACACCCTTCACACATAGTCAGTGCCTTTCTAGAAGGTTTGGGGATGCTGAAAAACAGAAAGCCCAGTGAAGAAAGGGCTTGGGACCCCAGCAAGGGTGGTGTTACTACTCTCTGGAAAAGCGTCACTCATCGGCAGTAGGGTGTGACAAGAAAGAACAGAGACCTCATTGTAGAATGCCCAGGGGTTAAGCTTACCTCATTTCAGAGAGGGACACTAGGAGGGGTCCAGAATATAGGCTGATGCCCTTTCTTAAACAGAAACAGAGAGGGAGTGGATTGGGGATGGGTGGGACATAGGGGATAGGGGGAAGGGACTGGGAGTAGAGGAAGGAGAGGAAACTGTGGCTGGGATGTAAAGTAAATAAATATATTTCTATATTAGAAAAAGAGGGAGGGGATGGAAGGGAGGGAGGAGAGAGAAAGGAAAACAAGGCAGGTTGAAGATTGGGAGAGGGCTCAATAGGCAAATGTGTTAATGTCACCTTAAGAAATGGAAAGACTTTTCTTGAGATAGTTTAGACCAGGAGCAAGTAGGAATTCTCTACCTCTCCTCCTGTGTCTTCCATTTCTCTGTGGTTTGTGATATGTGGCCTGGCTGTTGTCTGTCTGTTGTATGTATCTGTTCCTATTGCCTGTCCCTAACTAAGAGCTTCATTCTGTATTTATGAAGCAGCATAGAAAATGTGGTATGGAAAAGGAATGCGGAATACTTTTTCATAGAAGTCTTTAGCAGAGTTTTATGGGGAAGAAATTACTGGCCCAGAGTAGTACTCAGAACTGCAAACAGACATTATCAACCTATATCAACAAGGTTGTTAAAGGTTACTTCCAGACTGTTGGCTTCTTTCAGCAAATGATAACCATACACACATAAGTGCACTCACACAAGTGTGCATGCACAAACACACACATACATACATGCACACTCACACACACACATGCACATGTGCGTGCGCGCACACACACACACACACACACACACACACACACACACACACACACAAAATGCCTGATGATCAGGGGCATGAAAGAGCCCACTGATCACTTTAAGATTGAAGGCATGCATTTAGCTTGGGTTGTAAAGTCTGATTGCATTGGAAGCTCAAAGCTCAGTGAGGTTGGTTCCATTGCTACCTTAAAGGCAGGAGGTTAAATTTAAACATGCTGAGTACACAGTGTGATAGCAAGCTGAATTCATGATTCTGAGTTATCTCAAGGCACATTATTAAGTTGATTACAAGTCAGGCAAAAGTTCTGTTTCTGAAGGCAAGAAGTTTTCAGGAAAAAGTGCCCACAGGCAAAGTGCTGCATGAAGCATGAAAAGCTGTGTTCAAACCTTCAGCATGCCTATAATGGATCTGTGAACAGTGCATGTCTATAACTCTAGAACTGGAGAAGACTGGGGGGGGGGTGACTATAAAGGCAGGAGTCCGCTGGTCAGCCAGCCTATCAAATTGGTGATCACCAGGTTCAGTGAGAGGTTTTCATCTCAGAAGCTAAGATGAAGAGCCATAGAACAGAGAGCTCCTGATGTCCATTGGCCTCTACACACATTGCATACAGGTGCACATCCACCACATGTACATGTTCACACAATACAAACATAACCATTGTTGATAACTGATGTCCACACATGCTCCAAACCATTCAGTAAAGACTGATGTCTAGGCGCCTTCCAAGTAAAACACAAACCCAACTGAGAGAAAAGAAAGAATTGCTAAGACTTTGTAATATACCTTGTATTTGGTAGATAAATCATATGGAAGTTAAAGAGGGAGAAAGGGAGAGACCACCTGCTCCACTTGTGGCATGGAACATGGGTCAGACATCAGCAGTCATTGCTGCTAGAGATCAGAGTTTTGCCAACTGCTACAGTGATGGCAGTTAGTAAGTCAATACTACTATGTGCCACCCCTACGGTGACTGCAGTTGATAAGTCAATACTACTATATGCCAACCCAATGGTGACTGCAGTTGATACCACAGGGCTACTATGTGCCAACCCTACAGTGAGGGCAGTTGATACCGCAGTGCTACTATGTGCCAACCCTACAGTGAGGGCAGTTGATACCGCAGGGCTACTATGTGCCAACCCTACAGTGAGGGCAGTTATAACGCAGTGCTACTATGTGCCAACCCTACAGTGAGAGCAATTATAACGCAGTGCTACTATGTGCCAACCCTACAGTGAGGGCAGTTATAACGCAGTGCTACTATGTGCCAACCCTACAGTGAGGGCAGTTATACCGCAGGGCTACTATGTGCCAACCCTACAGTGAGGGCAGTTGATACCGCAGGGCTACTATGTGCCAACCCTACAGTGAGGGCAGTTATAACGCAGTGCTACTATGTGCCAACCCTATACAGTGATGGTAGTTGATAGCACGGTGCTACCATGTGCTGTTTGCATTAACACAATGTTTTCCAGTTTTAAAGAAAGGTATTGTCAGCGTATTGTCTATCAAAAAGAATTTGCTTTCTCAAGCTATGGTGTTCCTATTATCCTATTTTCTCCCCCTACCTGTTTCCCATCTCTGTCTCCATCTCCTTCTTCCCTTTATTTCTGTATTTGTACAGAAGATGTACGAGCCCCTGAATGCATATGTAGAGGCCAGAGGCTGACATCAGGTGTCTTCTATCAATTTACCTTATGTTCTTTTCAGACAGTCTCTCACAAAGCCCAGAGCTCAGCAACCGAGGCTCTCCTGTCTCCACCTCCTCATACTGAGATTGTAAGAGCATGCCACTATGCCTGGTTTTTGATGTGGGAGCTGGAGATGCAAACTCAGGCCACCGTGTTTCCCAGACAAGTACTTTACCTACTGAGTCGTCTTCTCCATGGTCTGTGCCGAAGTCTCCTAATGTCAGAGATACTAGATACACGCACAGTGAGGCTCTCTAAAATGCCATCCCAGAAACAGTACATTATGGCCATATGGCAGTAATCAGGAAGCAGCCAAAATTTATAGTACGCCTTGCAAAAACTTGGTGCCAGGAGTCACTTCAGCCACTGGCCTGTCTGTACCTCACAGGCTCCACTGCAGCCACTGGCCTGTCTGTCTGCACCTCACAGGCTCTTACTCCAGCCACTGGTCTGTCTGTCTGTACCTCACAGGTTCCACTCCAGCCACTGGTCTGTCTGTCTGTACCTCACAGGCACCTACTTCAGCCACTGGCCTGTCTGTACCTCACATGCACACTGATAGATCAAATAGGTAGAACAAACTTGGTTCTAAAGATACACAAATCAAACACAGCCTTCAATAACCCCTCCAGCTAAGAACAGTGGGGTCAGCTGGACTTCACTTCTACAGTTCCCTGGGATCTTCCAACCAACTCCAGCTTCCTTTGCTGCTATAATAAACCTATTTCCAAGCCTCATAAACTTGCACCCAGAAAATGTAGGCCATAAACTATCAAGTCCGAGGTCACTTTGTGAGCTTGCCTTGCTGAGCAGCAGAGCTTCTACAGCGTGCCATCACTCCTCTGGCATTTCTCTCACATGCAGCTCCTGCAGGTATGAGCTGCCCGTTTGCCTATCCTGGGCTCAGTTTCCCGTGTAGCAGAATGCAATTTGGAGAATAGGAAAACTTTATTTTAATGTGTGTTTAAAATTTGCCTCATAGTAACT